TGATGATGATGCTGCTGATGATGATACTGATGATGGTCATGACGACGGTGATGATGATGACGATGATGATGATGATGATGATGGTGGTGAGGATGATAATAATGCTGCTGATGATGATGATGATGATGATGATGATGATGATGATGATGATGATGATGACGGTCATGACGACGGCGCGTCCCGTCGAAGATAAGAGGGAGCAGTGCGAGAAGGGAGGAGGGAGAAATCAAGAGAAGGATGTGGAGAAGGAGGACGATGACGACAAGTGCTCTTGGGAGGGCGGGGTTCGATATCTCGATTTGTCATTGAACTGCAGACCTGTGGATGTGAAACAGGCTGCGATATGGAGATGTCCAGAGCCCGCTTCGGATATCGAGATATCGCGATATCGAGTCTGACCCCGCCGCCGCCCCCCAGTGCGTATCCATAACCATCACCACCGTCACTATCATCATCGCCATCATTAGCAGCATCATCGTCATCCTCATGTGGACTCACACGTACCCCTCCTGCCGCCCTTGACCCTTCTGGCCCACACTCAGAAAAAGGGGACATTTCCTTATGCACGCCCTGCGCCGCGGACGAGTCCCGCTCGAGCGGGCCCGTGCGTGCCCGCAGGCCGTGCATCAGGAAATTAGGATCGCGGGATGGGGGGGGGGGCAGGCGCCGTACCTCGAGCCGCGCCTCGAACTCCACCCCCCCGATATCGAGATATCGAGATATCGAGTCCCCGCTCGAGATATCGAGATATCGAGATGTCGAGATATCGAGTCCCCCGCCCCCCGATATCGAGATATCGAGAGATCGAGATATCGAGTCCACGCCTGGCCCCGCGTCCGATATCGGGATATCGAGACATCGACATATCGAGTCGGGGCGAACAGCGCAACGTGGTTTGCCCGGACGACGGGCCCCCGAGCTGTGTTATATGGTTTCTTGTGCGACTCGTATTTTTAGTATTCTAGTTCTCGTTCGTGTTATTTAGTAGTAAGTTCATGTATCGTTGGCTAGTGCAGCAACTCGTACCATTATGGTTCCTATAACTTTCTACGTTTTGTCCTACCACTGTTACTATAATGCGTATCTCTATCACTATCATTGCTACTCGCGCTACCAGTATTCCTGACCTTCTTATGACTACTACTAGTTCTTTACCACGGATGCTACGAGTACCATCTAGTACTGTATCACTTTTACTATGACGATTCTTGTTTTTCGAATGCTGATTCTGCCACTTTTTTATACTAGTTCCAGCCTGAAAAGTAGTCTTATTCATGCTTGCATTCTTACAATAATTTGATATTACGTTTGTGTTACCACCCTAGTTATTGCTACCAATGCGTCTCGCAGCATTACGATGATCATTATCGGTATCACTACGAATAGTTTGTTTACAACTACCAGCACTACTTCTATCACTTTGATGTTTTTTTTGTTTTTCGATTTTTTCCATTTCTTTCCACCATACTTTTTACACGGAGTGTTATCATTATAATTAATGTTGTGATAACCTTGCACTCGTTCTGTTATTGCTACCACGAGTGCGCTAACAACTGTCATTCCGATTGTTATGTTTCTGTTTTAACCACCAATACTATCACTATTGCTATCACTCTGACGACTTCTGCTACTAGTTCTAATACCACCACTATTCAGCCACGATTCTAGTTACTACTACGGATACTTGCATCCTTACTGCGACCATGTCTAGCAAACACTCTTTTTACCACCACCAGTCGTATTACGATTCCGGTTCTTCTCTTATTTGCTCGTGTATTCCTGCGAAGCTTTTGCGGCGGGTGCAGATAGCAAAGCCACACGGGAGACCGCACGGGAGGTCGCGCGGGAGATCATGCGGGAGGCTTCCTGGGAGACCGTACGGGAGACCATGTACAAGGTCCGCACCGGAGACCACACCAGAGGCCATACCAGGAGCCAAGCCGCAGGCCATCCACAGCGCGGCGGGAGGCCAGGCGGGCGACCCCGCGGGAGGCCGTGCCGGAGTCCATGCGGGAGACCACGCCAGAGACCACGCCGCAGATCGCACTCCAGGCGGGAGTTCATACAGTAGGTTTGCGTCGTGTCGACCAGCGGCGATCCCAGCGCGGGCGTTCAATGTTGGACGCCGCCGGCGACCCAGAATCGATCGACGTTGAACGATCGGACGTTGCGGCAGCGGCCGATCGTTCAAGGTTGAACGATCCCTGCGGTGTCAAAAACCAACACTGGGGTCGACACGACACGAACCTGCCGTACGGGGGACTCTGCGGGAGATCACGCCCCACCGATTCCGGGTCCGGCAGAGCACTCCCATGCGGAAGACCAGGTGGGAGACCACGCAGGAGACCGCGTTCCGCCGGTTCCGGACTTGGCAGAGCTCTCTTTCGTTTCTCGGAAGCATGACGGAGAGCTTTTGCAGACACATTGTTCAGAGAGCAGAGTTGTGCAGAGAACTGGCGCTTGCGTAGGACATGTGGTATTCGCCACTCGTTCAGGTAGTACGTGTCCCGCAGGTCACGTTTGACCATTCGGCCCTGCATCGTGACCCAGATGATGACGATGATGAGGATGAGTATGAGTATGCGGATAGGGGTGATGACGACGATGGTGACGATGCTGTTGAGGATGATGAAGATTGGGATGAAGACGACCACGGTGATCGTGAGGAGGTTGAATAATACGATGATTACGATCGATGATGGTGATGATGATGATCTGATGAGGATGATGGTGGTGGTGGTGGTGGTGATGACGACGACGAAGAGGACGATGACGAAGGCGATGAGGATACGCATGACGAAAATGACACTGACTGACGCGGATGAGGATGAGGATGAGATGATAATTATGATGATGAGTATGAGTATGAGTCTGATGATGATTATAATGATCATGATGACGATGATGACGATGATGATTATTCCGATGATACGATATTGATGACGCTTATGCTGGTGGTGATGAAGGTGCTAACGATGGTGCGGATGATGATAACGATGATGATAACGACGATTTCGACCACAATTATGATGCCGATGTTGACGACGGAGGCAATGCTGACGATGGCGATTATGATGATGTTGGCGTTGAAGATGGTGATGAGGAAGACGATGATCACAGTGCGGATAACGGTGCTGCTGCTGATGATGACGCTGCGATGATGATGCTGATGATGCTGATGACGACGCTAATTATGATGATGCTGATGATGATGATGTTTATGATGATCATGGTGATGATGATGATGATGATGATGATGATGATGATGGTGGTGGTGGTGGTGGTGATGATGATGATGATGACGATGACGATGATGCTGCTGCTGATGATGATGATGCTGATGGTGATGCTGATGCTGATGGTGATGATGCTGCTGATGATGATGCTGATGCTGATGCTGCTGCTGCTGCTGATGATGATGATGATGATGACGATGATGGTGATGTTGATGGTGATGGTGTGGCGCGCCTCCTTCTCGAGCAGATACCTCCAGACCGTCGTTTCGGCGGAGCAGCCACGCCGTGCCCAGTGCTGGGGGCGATCGGCGCCGTCGAGGCACGGCGCGACGAGCGGAAAGCGCGCGGCCTCCCAGTCGCGAGCCAGCGTTGGCATCTTGCCGACGGGCCGCCTCTCCACTCTGAGCGCCTGGGCCTGCGGGGTTATCAAGCAGGCCTTTACCGCCAGGGGCAGCTGCGCGAAGGCGCCCACAGCCTCGTCAGACCAGCGCTGAAGAACCCGAGGACTCCAACCATCTGCGCCGCACCCTGTTCGATGAGAGATGCGCTAGGAGGAGGTGAGGAAGAGGAGGGGGAGGAGGAGGATGTGGAGGAGGGGGAGGAGGAGGAGGAGGACCAGTGTAAACCCAAGACTCATCAACGATGTTGAAATATAGCCTCCAAGATCCCTCCTCATAGGCCCCTAAACGGGGTCATTTTTTTCAGGCAATTGCCCCATTGGGGGACAACCGCGTGATATTTTGAAGCGTGCCGAAACACCATGTAGCAGGACCCCAACGCCACGAGTTAACCTGACCGCTACGTCTTTGGGATCCCGAATCGTGTCAGAACATCATCCCTGGGACTTCAACACCGCGATCAACGTAATTGCTGCGCCCTGACAATTCTGAACCGTTCCGAAACACCATTTCCTGGTACGTTAACCATGAAGCTCGGCGCTAAGGCGAGAGCCACACTTTGAAAACGACCCACCCTCAATCGGTGAAACTGTTGCAAATTGTTCAAACGAATGTGCGCGGCGCTAAGGCGAGAGCAACATTAAAAAAACCACCCGCCCTCAACCAGTGAAACTTTTGCACATATTTAGAACGAATGCGCGCTCCGCAGAGGCGAGAACAACATTTTGGAAACGAGCCGCCCTCACTCCGCGAAGCTCTTGCAACTGGTTAAAGCGAACGTGCGCGGCGCTACGGCGAGAGCTACATTTCGAAAACCACCCGCCCTCAATCCGTGAAACTCAGCGCTAAGGCGAGAGCAACATTTCGAAAACGAACCACCCTCAATCGGTGAAATTGATGCAACTTGCTAACGAATGTGCGCGGCGCTAAGGCGAGAGCTACATTTTGAAAACCACCCGCCCTCAATCAGTGAAACTCTTGTCCTTTTTTCAAACGAACGGGCGCGGCGCTATGGCGAGAGCCACATTTTGAAAGCCACCCGCCCTCAATCAGTGAAACCATTGCCACTGTTGAAACGTCAGGCGAAACGCCCGGCCCGCCCTTTCGACCGGCCTTTGGGCTCGACAGGTAGAAGGTATCGATAAGGGAAAGGAATGGAGAATGATGGGGAGGAGGAGGAGGAGGAGGAGGAGGAGGAGGAGGAGGAGGAGGAGGAGGAGGAGCAGCAGGAAGAGTAGGCAGAAGATGTTCGGGAGGGGTGAGGAGGAGAAGGAGGACCGAGCAGGAACAAGAGCCGAGAGGTAGGGGGGAAGGGAGAAGGCGAGCAGCTGAAGGGCACCCGTGCCCGCCATCCTTGGCGGGCCAGCGGCCCTGGAAGTGTCTGGGTTCCACCCCTTCCGCGGGAACGACGCCGCGGACCGGCTAGCAGAGTGCCCGTCCGAGTGGGTCGCGCGCCCGCCGCAGCGGTCGCCGTCCCCGTCGCAGCCGTCTCCGCAGTCCCCGACGTCCGAGCTAGGTGATGACGCCATGATCCAGGGGGAGGAGGAGGAGCATGGAGGAGGAGGAGGAGGAGGAGGAGGAGGAGGAGGAGGAGGAGGAGGAGGAGGAGGAGGAGGAGGAGGAGGAGGAGGAAGGAGTCCAGGAGTCCAGGAGTCCAGGAGTCCAGGAGGAGGAGAAGGAGGAGGTGGGGTCAGGGAGGGAGGGACGTGGAGGGAGGGGGAGGAGGATCAGAAGGGAGAGAATAATGAAGCCTCCACCTCGTCTTCCCCCCCTTTCCTCTGCCTCCCTCATCCTCCTGCTCCATCCTCCGCACGCACGCACGCACACACGCACGCACGCACAAACACACATACACACACACATACGTACACACATGCACACCTACACACAAGCGCGCACACACACACACCACGCACAACACACACGCACGAACGCACGCACACACGCACGCCCGCGCGAACGCACGAACGAACGCACGCACGAACGCACGAACGCACGAACGCACGAACGCACGCCCACGCCCACGCGCACGCGCACTCGCACGCGCACGCGCACGCGCACGCGCAATCGCACACGCACGCGCACACGCACAACCACACACACAGCACACACGGACACGCACACGCACAACGCACACGCGCACGCACACGCACACGCACACGCACAGCGCCCACGCACAAGCCCACGCCCACGCCCACGCCCACGCACACGCACACGCACACGCAGACGCAGACGCAGACGCATGCGCCCGCGCATGCGCCCACGCCCACGCCCACGCCCACGCCTACGCCCACGCACACGCACACGCACGCACCCGCGCATGTGCGCACGACTACGCACACGCACACGCACACGCGCACGCGCATGCACACGCACACGCACATGCACGCGCTCACGCCCACGCACACGCAGACGCATGCGCCCGCGCATGCGCCCACGCCCACGCCCACGCCCACGCACCCGCACACGCACGCACCCGCGCATGTGCGCACGACCACGCACACGCACACGCACACGCGCACGCGCACGCACACGCACACGCACACGCCCACGCCCACGCCCACGCACATGCACACGCACGCGCCCACGCACACTCGCACGCACACGCACACGCATACGCACACGCACGTTCTCACGCACACGCACGCGCACACGTGCACACGCACACGCGCACGCGCACGCGCCCGTGCACGCACGCGCGCGCGCACGCGCACTCGCACGCGCACGCGCACGCGCACGCGCAATCGCACACACACACACGCGCACACGCACAATCACACGCACAGCGCACACGGACACACACACACACGCACAACGCACACGCGCACGCACACGCACACGCACACGCACAACGCCCACGCACACGCCCACGCCCACGCCCACGCCCACGCACACTCACACGCACACGCACACGCACACGCAGACGCATGCGCCCGCGCATGCGCCCACGCCCATGCCCACGCCCACGCCCACGCCCACGCACACGCACACGCACGCACCCGCGCATGTGCGCACGACCACGCACACGCACGCGCGCACGCGCACGCACACGCACACGCACACGCCCACGCCCACGCACATGCACACGCACGCGCTCACGCACACGCGCACGCACACGCACACGCGCACGCACACGCACGCGCACACGCACACGCACGCGCACACGCGCACGCGCACGCGCACGCGCACGCGCACGCGCACGCGCACGCGCACGGACGCAGACAGAGACACATTCACGCAGACACACAGACACACACACACACATATACATACACACACGCACACACGCGAAGAAGGTCACTCTCCCGTCTGCCTTGGGGTCTGCAGATCGGGACAAAGTCAAGCGCACGAGCTTCATGGTACACGGGGTGGTTGCTTGGGTCTCGACGGCTGGTGCTCCTGCTGCGGCTGCTCGGGGTGACATCGGCGCGAACCTAGTCAGCAAGCAGCCGCCAAGAGCCGTCCCCAGCTTGACGGAGCATGATTTTGTCGTTGGGGCGGGATGTTGGCGGTGTGCAAAGTGTGGGCGATTCGCGGCTACCCGTTATTCAGCAGGCCATGCATCCCACGACCAGTCACCAGCGGGCCAAGACGTATTGTGTATGTGCTCGTGACAGGGGCCAAGATGCCCGCGGCTGCGGCTGGCACTGGACTGGGTGCTGCTGTTCTCACTGCTGCTGCCTCAGCATCTCAGAGCACTGCCGGCGGAGGGCAGGCTGGCGATGATGGTGATGGCGAAGCCACGGGTGGTGCTGGCAGCCCGGGGCCATCGCCAGCACCAACGCCAGACTCGGCTATCGTTTTTGGTGCTGGATCTGGTGATGCTGGCGCAAGAGAACATGATCTTCTTGCCGGGTACGGTTGCCGCGCTTGTATGACATGTTGTTAATTCGTGCGAGAGCGGCAAGGGCTGTCGCGAGAACTCGGGAAGGGTTGCGCAGGCCCTCCCGTGACGGATGGTGATACTGGTCGCGTGCGCGAACAGAGGCAAGACTTGATGCTCGCGGGAGAGGGCCCCGGAACTCGAAAGCCATTTTCTGATGGCTGAGCAGAGAGCTCATGCGTGTGACTTCTGGCCGCCATCTTGATCATTAATGCGCGCGCTCGCGTGGGAAGCCTCCTATGTGGTGAGTTGTTCTTGGCGTGATTTTTCGTGCGTGTGTCACACACAGGCACACACGCACGCAAGCACGCGCACACGCACACGCACACGTGCACGCACACGCACCCGCTCGGGCACACCCACGCGCACGCGCACACGCACACGCGCACACGCACACGCACACGCTCACGCATGCGCACACGCACACGCACATGCACGTCTGGGCTGCGATCATTTCGGTTGCCTCGCCGTTTCTGCGCTTACTCTTGTTCAGAATCAGATGGTACGAAGTGGGGAGCATTTCGTATCAGTCCGTTCCCCTGTCATCTTCTCCTCCTCCTCCTTTGCATTTGCGGCACGTGCTTCGTGGCATGTTCGTTGCGTGCCCCTGCCGTTGCATCAGTTTCCCGCGTGTCGCACCCTGCGTGGTGTGATCCCCGGGCAAACATCCCGTGCCGCGCGCAAGGTGTCTGGCATCGTCGTGGTCATTCCCCTCGGCTTTCCCCCTTCTCTCTCTCCTCCCGCGCAGCGTCGTTTCGTTTTCAGCGGCGTCGCGGGTGTATGAGGAGGAGCAGCAGGATCAGGAGTAGCAACATGAGCAGGACCAAGGGGATGAGGAGGAGGAACAGGAGCAGGAACAGGGGCAGAAACGCCAGCAAAAGCAGGA